TTATTTTTAATCATTTCACCCCAAGCAAGGCAATAAAGCCACTGAGATGTAAGTGGTTACTGACTGTTAGAGAATATGAGGAAAAAAACTCTATTAAGAAGAGTGAACAATAAAAGAAGAAGAATTAAGAAAACAAAAGATAACAATTGATATTGCATTTAAATTTTTGAAGATCAAATTTTACTTGAAAGCAAGAAGCTGAAAGAGAGTTCCACAAGCAAAAAGTGTGATAGAAGAAATTGTTAGCATAGAACTCATGGTTACACACACACACACACACACACACACACACATATACATATATATATATATATATATATATATATATATATATATATATGTGTGTGTGTGAATCTGATCTTAAGATATGCTATATTTATGGGATAAAGTGCTCAATATCAGAGATAGAGCATGTGTAAATATAAAAGTGAACATAGGAGTCAACACTTATATATATATATTTGTAAAAGCTACATCAGAGGGAAGCTACATCATGGCGGTGGGAAAGTTACTGATGTCAAGATGCCTGGTCAGTATCGATTGCATTACAGGACTTTCTTTGGATGTGCAACAGGAGCACCAGACCAGGTATCGCAACATAATTCAATGTACGGACAAATGGTAGATTTATAAATATGCAAGACGGAGTCTGATGAGAAAAATCTTCTGGCATGACACAATGAACCAACTTACCTTGGAGTAGATATAGCAACTGATTCAATATAGTCACTCCACTTCATGTCAGTGGAAAACTTGAGGCCGAGAAGGTGTAGTGCATTGCCCTCCTGGAGTTTAACATCACACATGCTGATGGCAGGCAGAAAATGTTTTCTATGGTGATTAAATGAAAGCAGTTTTGTTTAGAAGCCATTTCTTGCTCTAGTTAACCACTGATTGAAGATCCTTTTCAAAAGTAGTTGCCAGGTTTACTTTATCAGATCTGTTGGATTTGCTACTAAGACAGGAGTCAGTGGTAGTGTCATCTGCATACATACCTAACTGGGAACTGATGACATCAGGGAGATGATTGATAAAGAACAGAAACAGTGTAGGTCTAAGGATAAAGCCCTGGAGGACATCTGCATTAGTATGGAAGGATCTAGAAGCATGCCTATTCAACATGAACTTTATTAAATGGTTTGTTAGGAATTATTGTATTGAGCCAAATATTCATCCCATGACACCATAGCCCTTAAGCTTGTATAGAAGACTGACATGCCAAAACCTGTAGAACACCTTTGAAATAACTAGAGCCACAGCCAGAGTGATATATATATATATATATATATATATATATATATATATATATATATATATTAGTGTTGTTGGATTTTAAATTAGCCCACTGAAAACAAAAATTGTTTATTTTTGTTTTATATATATGAGATTGGTGATATTATGTATGGTCCTGGTTTTAAGTTTATTGTCAAGAATTGTTACATTGTTTTCTTCTTAGTGAATCCTTTTCTCTCCTCATTAGACTGGCATTTATTAAGTCAAAATTGTGGTCAGATGTGTACTAATCTCACAATTTGCAACAATAAACTTTAGACCAGGACCACATATAATATCACCAATTATCGCAAAAGCAATAACAGTACAGTGAGGTATATGAGCTAGTAGAGAAAAAAAAAAGTGAATTAGTAGGACTGGGTTGATTTAAAATCCAACAGATACCAACGGCTCTAATATATCACTACACTTTTCTCTTCCTGCTCATTATTAATGTTTCTGTTCCTAACTCTTCCACACCCTGTAACCCCTCGTGTCTTAGTGGCTTTACTGCCTTGCATGGGGGTGATACCAATTATAAGCTTTTCTACTTTGTATCATCATCTCCAAATAAATATATATATATGTGCAGATATGTAGAAAAATAGGAAAGAACACGATAAGTAAGTAATCCAGAGTTCTTTAGTATTTTTGTTTTTATTTTTTAAAAACAGTGCCCCATACAGAAATAATTTAATTTTAATAATTATATTGAGGTTTTCGGCTCTTGTTTTTGAAACATGAGAACTCTTATGTAGCGAAGGAATCATATTTTTAAAAAATAATTATATATATATATATATATATATATATATATATATATATAGGGTAAACTGGGTAAAATTGTCTCTATTTTATATTTTTAATTTTGCACTTACATGTTGTTTGTTTTTGTCAACTGCACAGTATAGTAGGGTCAATGGAGCACAGTCTATAAGAAAAAAAGTACCATGATGCAATTCACCCTGCCAGAAATTTGGAAACAGGATGTTGTACTGCTTAGCATTCACATTGGAAGCTCCAATATGAACATTTCAGAGTGTTTGGGTGCCACCTAACTCCCTAGACTGCAACCCCTTGATTATTATGTGTGAGCCGCAGTCGAGCAAGAGATCAACGAAACTGCTTGTAACACCAAAAATGAACTGAAGGCAAGGATTATGGACAGAGAAGCATTTACCAGCTTAAACATGGAGACTGCCCAGAAGAAATTCAGGAGATTCTGAAGTTGTCTGGAGGCTGTGGCTCAAGCCAATGGTGATGTCATTGAACACAAGGACACATGGCATAGTGGATAAAAGTGTTAGTTAGATCCAGTGACAGTACCCAAAGAGTGTGAGTTCAATACCTGGTTCAGGCAGTAGAGAACTTGGAGAGGGGAATTAACAGGAGATAACTGACAACTGACATCCTTTAAAACATGGCACGTGGAACTAGAACAGTCTACCCCAGTGAGCAAAATAAAGGGTTCAGTTCAACATTCCAACCACCTGAAGAAGGCTGGAGCATACAACGGCCAAAACATTGTAATAAATATGGCGACAAAGATGAGGACAATAGTCCAAATAATGTAAATAGTATACGTAAGACCTAATCTCAGAAATATAGACAGTTATTGAATAAATTTAGTCTTTAGTATTTGAAGATTTTTTTTTGTAATTTTGGTAAATATATCTGTTAAAATGAGATGTCAATATTTTTCATTTTTTTTTTTTGCATAATTTAGCCACAATTTATCCATTGTAACCTGTATACATATGTGTGTGTGTGTGCACGCATGTATGTGTGTGTATTGGAGGAAGGTATCTATATGCATCTATACCCGAGCCAGTAAGAAATAACAATACTCTGACCTATCTTGTGTTCTTCTTGGATTCTGATAGGCACTGAAGTACAGCATTATTACTCAGTCTAACTGTTATATTTCTTAAATTGTTTCTGGACTAATTAGTGTCATCTCTAAAAGACAACCTTGTGACATTAATAAGGATAAAGTGACAGTTAGAGCCAGTGTAGATGAGGTGGTTAGGACTCGTGGAAGAATGGGGAATGACCCTGCTGATTCCTCACTACTCTGTTGGGCTTGGGGGTGAGTAAGGAATAGAAAGAGAGGTGCATTGCAGAATCATATGGCAGCCTGAACTTTTCTCAGTACCTATCAGATTGTTTGCCTTATCTCCTTTTTTCCTCTTCCCTTGGGAGAGGGAAGGCTTCCTCTCATTTATGACCTTGAATCATTAAACTTTTATCCACATGGCCTCTGCTGAAGGCTTTAAATAATCAGACTAGAGTTAACACAGGAATAAAATTTTCACACATATGCCCCCACCCAATTTAAAATTTTTAACTTCAAATTGAACCAGTAAAACTTTACATTAATTTTATGAGGTTTCTTTTTTCAAGTCTTACTTATCATTTAACATGCAATTAAGAAATGCAAAAGTTCTCATCATCATCTTTTGTACAGTATTAGAAAAATCTTAGAAGTGTCTAAAGCAGTAGTTCTCAACCTTTTCTTCTCCTCTTTCAGATATCTGCATGGGTTAGTGCCCACTGAGAGCATTCCATCCCTGATATTTCTACAATCTTACACGAACAGAGAATGTGCTTTGCAGGACATTGTTAGCAAGCAAAACAAGATCTACTACTCTGAACACCTACCCATCCAGCAAGACAGGTTGGCTGCCCAGCAACCACCTACATTGACCAGCTATGTTATGATATAAGATGTTACCCTAATGACTTTCCAACCTTGATGCAGGACTCTGATGATTGACATGATAGACTCATGAAAAGCTAGCTCAACCAAATATAATGTCCACTATGTTAAAATTAGCATGGTTAAAGAGTGATATGCAATGTGATCAATCCTGACTTGGGGTCTCAACTCCAGTCACTTTCTTATCGATGTAATGTGGCCTCCCTCTGTCTTTTCCATAAATATTTTCCTCGCATCTGTTCTGATATTTTCACTGGTGCCCCGACTGCATGAATTTAATGTGCTACTAGGTTGGCAACTCGCTCCCACCCTTTTACTGCCAAAACAGTTAAATATAACCATCTCTTCTACTCCAACAGCTTCTTCTCTCACACTTCCTAACAGTGGAATTCCCTTCCACTTACTTGTTTATAACTATAATCTTCAAAAATTTAAATGTAATGTCAATTGACATCTGATGAATAGATTCCCATTTTTCTTTTTATCCTTTTCTGTTCTTCTTTTTATCCTTTTCTGTTTTTCTTTTCATCCTTTTTTCATTTACCCAGTCTTTTCCCTTATTTTCACTCTCTGTAGCCTTTTGTGTACTAGTGGCAATCCCGCTTTGCTTGGGATGAAATGCTTAAAAAAAGGCAGGTAAATAAGAAACATCAATAACTGTTAATTGATACAAAAGTTCTCATCATCATCTTTTGTACAGTTAGGGAAATCTTAGAAGTGCCTAAAGCAGCAATTCTTAAGCTTTTTTCCTCCAGCACCTCTTTTAAGATATTTGTGACAATTACTGCCGTCTATATTAAAATTGCACTGATCAATGGAGCAGAGTTAACGTGACAGTTTTAATATCACATGTTGACATTTTGTTGCATTTCCATGGGACCAATCACTGGGAGTATGTTTTGGTCGTCACAGGAGCAGTTGGATTTTAGTTTTCAGATTTCGCTTCCTACACATATTGAAATTGTATCTAAATATTAAAAATACATATAAAATATAAATATATAGGCTCATGGCCATATCACATTGAAACACCAGTTCTCATCTGATCACTGAAGTTAAGCAGCATTGAACCAATTCAGTACCTAGATGGGTGACCACTCAGGAAAAATGCTGTAAGATTGGATGTGTGGGCGGTGTAATGAGTAAAGGCTTGGAATTAGAAATTAAAGAGCCAAGTTTGAATTTCAATCCGGTTCGTTATATTTACTTACATGCAAATATCCTTGGGAAAGGTATGAATCCACCTCTTTTTCTCCCAGCTATGGGTTAAATAGTAAGACTTGTATCAGAAAACCATTATTATCCCCACAAAATTCTTACAATCCAAAAATATGTTTCAGCTTTAAATAACCTTAAAAAGAAATCAATCAGTTAATATATATATATACATATACATTTATATATATATATATATATATATATATATATATATAGGTAAAATGATAAATGCGTATATCAAATTTTGGTACTTGTCCCAATCAGGGTTCAAAGGGCTAAATCATACTTACTGCTCTGTTAAAAATATAACATATCCCATAATTCATCTGAATACATGCTGCTACCTTGAGGGTTTATGGCACTACTAAAGGGAAGTTATTGTTCTATGTTGAGAATCACTGGTCTAAAGTTTACTCAGAGCTTTATGATTTCTAATGGTAAGACATTAGTAGCAATGCTATCTTCATTTAGCTAATGTTTTACCATTATGTAGGACGTATTTCTGAGAGTATATGTGGGAGATATTTCTGCCGCAACATGTACAATCAACAGTAGTATGTCATTTAAAAGTTGGAAAATGGGTCCAGCATAATTTGATGAAAACAAGCATCAAGGTAGTATTAAAAAACTGGTCTTTCTCTTGTTGCAGAATAAAAAGTCATTTTCAAGCAAGATAGCAATGAAAAATGTATTTAAAAAGTGTTGAAATACATTTTTTAAAATAAAATATTCTAAATAAACTGCTTTCTTAATTTTTGTTCTTATACTGTTCTTTCTTCTTATTCTCATATTTTCTCATATTCAGGAACCACTTGGGTCTTAGTGGCTTTATTGCCTTGCTTGTGGTGAAATGATTAAAAATCAAAAGAAAAGTCTAACAGTCACATAAACACATTGATAAAAACATAAAAAGTAGAGTGCTATATATAGTCCCATGATACATTAGTATAAAAGCGGTACCAAATTCAAAAACTCTGTACTTCTTGGGCTTCCATATGTAGGAACTTCCTCCTTACTCTTGTCGTACATATACATATACACTCTACACAGTTTGAAATACCTGGTGTCATTAGTACTAAAACATGGTCTATTTAGTTACACTTGCTTTTATTGTCTGTCCTTTATATTTCAAATTTCATTTTTACACTTGCTTGAACATGCTTACAGTATATTTCTCAATGGAAATATATTTTACTATAAAATTATTTCAAGAATAGTTAAAAATACCTTACGAATATGGGAAACTGAATCAAAGAAAATTTAACCTATATCTAGAAAGGCCTTCATTATCTCAATTTAAACAGAATTTGCTGGAAAAACAGGATTCAAATAGACTATGTTATGAATTGCTAAAATCAGAACAAACTTACTTTGCAGTGCTACAGTGAGTAAGTGGCTCATTTGAATGAGGCAGTAGAACAGAAAAAAACTCATGTAGGTCCACCCATGGTGATAAGGTCAAAGAGGAAGGAACAGACTAAATGTGACAAACACTTGAATACTCCTATGGCAGAATAGGCAATGATCTACACAATCTCAGTAGCCAAACCAGCGGAAGAGATGGACATTGACAAACCAAGTGTAGTATATTGCTGCTGGGCTCAAATAAGGCAACGAACACTTATATATAAAAATATATGAATATCTTTATTGTTCAAGTTGCAGTGAATGGGTAGAATGAGGGAGAATCAAAGAGGTTAGGATTGTGCGCACAGAAATTGGCAGAGACAAATCTTCAGTGAATCTCTAGCCAGCCTCTCTGTTCAGGTCAAGAATCAGACCAGTTAAATAACATTTGGACACCTACACAATTTCATGTGTCTGTGTCTTCTTCTGGTACATCGCTTATGCAACATTGTATGACCACGCCTCTTCTGCCATATGCCCATGTAAGCATGCATTTCTTTCCGCTCATGACACCTGTGCACCCTGTTTATTCAAGGCTTAGGACAACTGTGAATCTTGTTTATTTTAGCCACTAGATGCATTTCCTGTTTATCCTATCACCAATTCTGAATTTTGCTCACATACTGATACTGCGGAAGTAAGGCCAAAAGCCTTTCCTTAACTGATATTCAACACAAGCATCCAATAGCCCAATGCAACCAGGTTTGCCAGATCTCACCTGTTTCAATCCCCTTTGAGTCACAAAGGAAGTGCTTCCATTATGCAGAGTTGTCCAACAAAATCAAATTCATGTATATGGCCTTATTAAACTCTCTTTGATTCACAGCCATCTCTGCCACTGCCACCATGGGAGAGAAAGGGAATAGTGCGAAAAGATGATGATCCTGATGCTCGGATAGAAGCAGGTGCTAACAACAACAAAGAAGAGATGAGAGATTTTTACCTGGGCGATGATGTCAACTGGTGATTTTGCTGGATGTTGCAATTGCAATGCAGCAAGCAATTACAGATTTGGAATGGGGCATTCCCCAATATGCAGTATATTTTTCAAAACTGTTACCTTAGGACTATTGCTTTGTTCTGTACTAAATTTTTTGTTCATCAATAGTTTCAACAAGTTCAAGATATAAAAAGTTTCCCCAAATGTAGAATTCTTTGAATCAGAACTAGAATCTTTGTTTTATGGAGAAATACACATTCTAGTTGAAAGGTGGCAGAATGTCTTGGAACATTGTGAGAAATAATTTGATGACTGATTAAGGATGCAATGAAATTATAAGTATAAAGGATTTTGTCAAAAATGACTGCAAACCATTGCATCTGTTCTTATCTTAATATTTCCTTAGTCTCTTGCTCTTAGATGCCTAATAGAGTCGGGGAAGATATTTAAAAAGGGAATTTTCCAAACCTACCAGGTTTAGTAAGACAACCCTCATTTATTAATTTCATTCTTTTTGACCTTTTAAACAATTTTCTGCCTCTTTATTAAGATCAACCTGTTTATTGTGTATTGAGGAAAGTTATTAAGAACTCCTAAGCAATGTGAAGTAATGGGTAGCGGCTCGGATTGGAGAATCAGAGAGATGAGTTCGAATTCCAGTTGAATCAATTATATTCACTTATATGCTAATACCCTTGGGAAAGGCATTAATCCTCTTCTCCTCCCCACAGCTATGAGTAACTAGCAGGATAGACTGAGTTCTATAGCCTTGGATGGCAACTGGTCTACCGCAGAAAGAAATGGCAACATACTGCAGGAAAAAATCTGCCTCATCAGTCATGTATTGAAAGATACATGATCGCCTAAGCATGTATCCCACATGGCACATAACTGACTGACCTAAGAGCATTATATAGATAACATTCATACAAAGATTCTTACACATACATATGCATATATTATTCATATTAGATAGCAATATATATCTACATACACATTGTTGAGGTTAAGACAAGGTTTGGATTTAAAACTTCTTTCAGAAGTCTGTTAACCTTTATATGATGGTTATTTTATACCAAATATCAATTTGGAATTGTCAGTCTGCGAAGATCTTCAGGATTGACAGTATTTTGTCCATGCCAGTCTGTCACATTTGTGCTTCTGATTTAATTGTGTCTTCTGTCATCAGCACAGATCAGATGTGTATGTTGGTGTTACACTGACTGAATCACATATCTGGGTTTCCAATTTAGTAATCCAGAAGTTACCTGGCAGAAGCAGATCAGTTCTTTTTTTTATATACTAATGTTTACCAAATACAAAGTTCCAGAAGCATGAAATCACCTCTTAATTGCTGTTGTTCCTGGCTCTACCTGTTAGGGTCCCAACTATGAGAAAATAGTGTTCTGATTTTTGTTTCAAGTACAAAAATACATTATAGCAAAAATACCAGAAATATATTTATAAACCAATGACTAGTTGTAATACATTTTTATAGCAAGATAACAAACAATACTGCACTAAAGTATAAAAATACATTTTTATAGTAAAATTACCAGCAGTAAATTTTATCTACAAAGTATATAACTAAAGAACAAACATTTTCCCTGAAAGTATAAAATTATGTACAAAATAGCTGTAGATGAATCCATAAAAAAGCATACAAAATATTTAGATTTCAGCATTAAATGACCCATAAAGGTGTTAATATACCACTAAACAAAAACAATGAAAGCAAAGCTCGAAAGCTACTCAAGGCAGAGGGTTACTGTGTGGTGTTGTATTGTAAGAAAGGGCAAGTTCATACAGGAAAGATAATGGTTAACTCTAGACTTGAAGAGGTTAAGATTGTAGTGATTGGGGAAGCATCCTGTGGAGAATCTGTTCCAGAAAGCAGCAGTTCTTGGGAAGAACCTGTCCGAGTGGAATGTACTCCTTACTAATGGAATACAAGCAAAATGAAGATGATTCACTCTTGTATATGTGGCATGGCAGGTCCCAGTTGCAAAGGTCATAGTTTTGTGTCACTAAATAATGTAGCTTGTCCGAACACATGCCATGGAAATAGCAAGAGGCACACAACATTATGTTTGTGAGAGAGGGGTTGTAGGGTGGAAAATAATTTATCACCCACAAGATTGCATAGATGGTTTTGAACTCTATCAAGTTAGGCAAGTGACAATGCAGACTGGGCATCAGTCAACTGTTTTTGTTATAATGTGGGGATGACCAGATCCAGGTAAATTCATCTCGTTATTGACTTGATGCTATTTCTGGATCAGCTATGCAATGTGAGTCTGTGTGGAAATTAATTGTATGACTGCCACTGGACATTCCCAGAAAGCATTTTTCATGCATATAACCATTAAGAGTGTATACGTGGTCTCTACTGGTGCCACAGAATCAGAAAGAACTTTACCAAATAAGAAAAACCTCATAACTTAAAGACTTCCAACAGCAGCAATTAGACTCTGTTTTTTCACCCTACCTTAAATGAAAGATTACAAAGGAAACCTTCATCAATAATAGAAAGAGTGATAA